ATAAATTTAATGTAGTTTTGTGTGTGTTTGGAAAAAAGGTTAAAAACACCAAGCTGTTCTCTCTATAGAGGGAGTGATATACGTGTATGTATATGGTTTTTGTAATTTTAAAAATGCAACTACCATCCCCACCAGAAAAAACAAAAAAATATAAAAAACCAAAACAAACAAACAAAAAAACAAAAAACAGCTAAGCGGGCAAATAAATAACCTCCCAGAGATACTGAGTGACACCTTCAGGAAATTAATATCTATCAGCCTTAACATAAAGAAATCTTGAGTCATGAAAATGGTATGATTATTTAAAACTTTTTATACAGTATTTATCTTTGTTTCTGATTTTTTATGCTATTTTATTTATTTATTTTTTTACTTTTTTTTATTTGTTTCAGGTGTACAAAGCAACATAACAGTCAGATATTTAAACCCCTCACAAAGTGATAACACATCCCCCAAGCTACTGCCCCTCTGACATCTTATGTAGCTGTTACAATACCATTGACTATCTTCCCTATGTTGTACTCCACATCACATGACTATATATACCTACACACTTAGTTATAGTTGACATTCAGTATTATTCACTTCAGCTCTTTAGGTATATAGTGCATTGGTGAGACATCTATACAGTCTATGAAGTGATCCCCCTGATAAGTCCAGTGCCCACCTGCACCTTACATCATCTTTACAACATTGTTGATTATATTCCCCATACCGTTTTAACTACCAATTTGTAGTTCTTAATACCTTCATCTTTTTCACCCTACCCCCTTCCCCATTCTCTTCTATCACCCTGATAGATCTATTACCTATCCGGCACCATAACTAGTTATTACAATATTATTGACTATATTCCTTATGCTGTACCCTACATCCCCATGACTACGGTGTAACAACTAATTTGTACTTAATCCCTTCCCATTTCACCCATCCTTAACCCCCCTCCCATCTTAAAGAAGCCCCTCTATGATTCCTTGTAATGCTGAATTGGTGAGGATGAACTCCTTCAGCTTTTTGTTATGTAGGAAGCTCCTTATCTGCCATTCAATTCTAAATCACAGCCTTGCTGGGTAGAGTAATCTTGGTTGTATGTCGTTGCTTTTCATCACTTGGAATACTTCCTGCCACCCCCTTCTGGCCTGCAAGGTTTCTGTTGAGAAATCAGCTGACAGTCTTATGGGGGCTCCCTTGTTAGTAACTAACTGCTTTTCTCTTGCTGCTTTTAAGATTCTCTGTTTGTCTTTAACCTTTGGCATTTTAATTATGATGTGTCTCTGTGTGGGCCTCTTTGAGTTTAACTTGTTTGGGATTCTCTGTGCTTCCTGGGCTTGAACATCCATTTCCTTCATCAGGTTAGGGAAGTTTTATGTCATTATTTCTTCAAACAGGTTTTCAATTCCTTGCTCTTTCTCTTCTCCTTCTGGTACCCTTATAATGTGAATGTAGGTACATTTGATATTGTCCCAAAGAGCCTTAAACTCTCCTCAATTTTTTGGATTCTTTTTTCTTTTTGCTGTTCTGGTTAGGTGTTTTCTGCTACCTTATGTTCTACATCGCTGGTTGGATCCCCTGCTTCATCTAATCTACTCTTGATTCCCTGTAATATATTCTTTGTTTCCATTATTGTATCCTTTATTTCTGACTGGTTCTTTTTCATGGTTTCCATCTCCATTTTCATGCTTCCTATCTCTCTGTTGACGTTCTCACTGAGATCGCTGAGCATGCTTTTTTTTTTTAAGATTTTTATTGGGGAATTGGGGGGATGGGAACAGTGCTGGGGAATTGGGGGAAGGGGAACAGACAAGTTGCTGTCGTTTTNATTAACCTTCCTGCTGAAAACTGAAACTCCTGGATAAATTCAAAGAAAAAGAAAATTTACAACCTAACCAGCCTTATGACCATTAAAGAAATTGAATCAATCTTCAAAACTCTTACCATAAAGAAAACTCCAGACCCAGATGACCTAACTGCTAAGTTCTACTAAACTCTCAAGGAAAGAATTGCAACCTTACACAAACTCTCTGTACATCCATATCTTTGCATAATGACATGAATACATTGTGTAATTAATTCCTAGAAATGAAATTGCTGGATCAAAGGGTCAGCATGCTCTAAATTTTTACGTATCTTGCCAAACTGCCCTACCAAAAAGATTGTGCCAATTTACATTCCCATCAACAGGAAAGAGTACCTGTTTCTCTACATCATACCCCATACAAGGCATACATCTCTGCCAGTCAAATAGGTAAAAGCCTCTCAGAGTTTTATGTACAGCCC